TGTATTAATATTATAATTGTGCAGATATAGCACCCAAGGTTTGTGGCAACATGTAAATACTTATTATTATAAATAATAATAAGTAAATATTATGGTCAGGAAGCATGCTATATTGATTTTAAAATAATTAGCAAATTTTCTTGCCATTATAAGAAAAAACTTCTTTGAATGTTAATTATAATCTAAATTTAAATATAACCCTAAATTTAAATATAACCCAAATTTAAGAAGAATTTAAACTATAACTTGAAATAACTATTTATCTGCTGAAGCAACTGGGCATTTTAAAATAGTTCTAATGCAGGCATACTTGGAACAGATAACATTGACTTTCAAATGAGTTGCTTTGCATACCATAAGGAATTGGTGTCATAAATATCAATTACTGAGATATTATAATGAGGGAATGACCTTGGGAGACAGAGCAAAGAGATGCAGCCAAGGGAATGATCAGATAAAAGGTAACAGCCCGCAGCAGGAATGTGGACAGGGCAAGCAGCTCAGTAGGGACCCTCCCTAGTTTCCTGGGCTGTAAAAAGGACGGGAGAAATGTACTTTCAGATTTGCAAGGTTCGGTTAATTTAACCTTATAATTATATTAACTATAATTATATTTAACTATAATTATATTAACTATAATTAGCTCAGCTGGCTGTGTTTCCTGTCTGGTCTACCTTGCAAGGCTGACAGATACAGATTTCTAAACCTTTTGAACATAAATTGTGAATTGATATCTAATTAGGTTTCTATAAAATTATTCAAGTTTCTATAAAATTATTTATAGCAGTCTTAAATTTACCGCGTTTCAGCTTCATATTTCTTAAGAACATTCAGGTCAATTTTCATAACTTTTTTAAATATTACTCTTGTTTCTCTAAGCCATCTTCATATATTAAATCTATTGATCTGTTCTTTTTCTGTTAAATTCTACTTAAGTACAGAATCTTTTAAAGTACAGTGAAACATAATAAATTGGAATTCTATTCAGGAATTACTCTGTTCCTTTTTATTTGTAGCACTGATTGAATTTTCCCAAGCCATTTTGGAATTGGGCTTCATACACTGAGTTGTTTTCCAAAAAGTTTAAAATTAGGCACCTGATGCTTTATGTTATTAAAGTGTACAGGTAGCCCTCATTTAATGACCACATTTGGGACCAGAATTTAGGTTGTTAAGTAATGCAATCATTAAGCGGGACATTATGTGACCACTTTGCTTAGTGACTGCAACCCTGGCACTCCCGGCTGCCGTCGTTAAGCAAGAATCACAGGTCATTAGACAAGGCAACTTCCTGCCAGTTTCCTATAATCAAGTCAATAGGGAAGCTGGCAGGAAGTTGTAAGCCCCAAGCACTGCCGGGTGGGGGAGGGAATGAGGGGGTGCATGGGAAGGTGAGGGAGGGTGCATGGGGGTGCAGTGTGGTTGAATGTGCATGGGCCTCAGCACTACTTGGATTTTCAGCCCCAGAGTTGACAGTTCTGAAGCCTTTCCAATCTGAAGCTGAAAATCCTCCATGGCTGAATATCCTGCTTGGATTTCAGCATGGGGCATTTTCAGCCAGCCCCCAGAGTTGAAAGGACTCCCTCTCATCTCTGGGGGCCGGTTTGAAAAACTCCATGCTGAAATCCAAGCAGGATTTTGTCATGGGGCATTTTCAGCCAGCCCCCAGAGTCAAGAAGAGAAATTTGAACAGTTGCTGAATGAATGGTCGTTAAGCAAGGACTTCCTGTATACAAGATTTCCCATCAATTCCTTTTTTTTTTTTTTAACTAAGAACAGGCTGATTTTTTAATGGGTGATAGATGACTTTGATTGCATCACCTGTCAGCCATTGCAATTCCCATTTTCAAAACTGTCTTCAAGTGGTCTCTTTCTTTCTCTTCCCTTTTCTATCCCTCTTTCCTCTGCTCTCTCTCCTGAAAAGTGGAGGGGGGGGGGAATGGGCAATGCTGGATGTATTTAGAAGATTCCATCAGGGAAGTCTGGCAAGGTTTGTTACTTAAGTTTACATTACTTTCCAATTGGTTGCTCTTCTTCCTTGCAGAAGTTTCCTGTCTACTTACAGATGCCCCAAGCTTGCTTCCTCATTTTTGATCTTTCCCAACATTGAGACAATGGAGGAGAAAACAAGCTCAGTTTTGTTCTGCTGACTAAAGACATGTCTACAGTGGTACCTCTACTTATGAATGCCCCTACTTACGAATTTTTCGAGATATGACCAGCTCCAGCCCCAAAAATTTACCTCTACTTACGAACTCGCCTCGACTTATGAACTGGATCCGTGGCCATTTTCTGCCCGCTCCACGTGGTCCGCGGCCATTTTCTACCCATTCCACTTGGTCCGTGGCCATTTTTCCGCCCGTGCCATGTGGTCCACGGCCATTTTCCACCCGTTCCACATGGTCCGCGGCCATTTTTCCGCCCATTCCACGTGGTCCGCGGCATTTTTCCACCCTGCCATGTGGTCAGCAGCCGTTTTTCTGCCGCTGACGCGTGGTCCGCGGATGCCGGAACGGATTAACGGTAATTACATTGAACCTTATGGGAAAATTTACTTCGACTTACGACCAACTCAACTTGCGATCAGAGTCACGGAACAGATTAAGTTCGTAAGTAGAGGTACCACTGTAATACATTAATCAGTAACAGCCATTGCATCCTTGCTCTGTTCAGTCTCTTTTGAGAGAAAGGTGAAACAATGGAAAATGCAGTGAAAGAGACATTTACTTGCAGTGTTGAAGTTAACTGGTGCAAATTGCAAATTAACAGAAAGTGAGCATGGACCAGATCCTTTTTGCAATCCATCAATTACATGCTATGCCATGGTCAAGGAGTGCGTAGTCTAAGGCCCCTAAAAGGCTTTGGTGTGACCCTAGAGTCCTCCAGAAGTTGCCTCAACTTTGTACTTTGTAATGTGACAGAAGAGGAAAATACAAAGAAAATAATATTAAATTTTATTTAATCTAATTTAATTTACATTTTTAATTAGACTCTATCAAATTTAGTTGTTATCCGTGTCCTGCCTATCTTTTGGAATGTAGCTTCTGACATACATCTTAAAGGTTAGGTGTGGCCTTTGGTTTGAAAAAGCTTCTGTACCCTTGCAAGGCTTAAGGTATTCATTTCATTCCTTAACTCCCTCCCTTCCAGGAGATGGAACAAAAATGTTTATCATGGCTTGGGAATGCAATTTCTCAGAATGTCTGATTCTAGAGTATTGTCCTTGGGACATTGCCATTGCAGCCTCCAAGCATCACAAAGTGATATAGAACCTTCTAGAGAAAGAAGGTAATGCCTTCAGATTGTCAAGTAAATTTTGAAGTAAAATAATGCATTGTGGGTTAAGAAGGGCAGTTCCTCTCTATTATAATCCAATTCGATTGAAGAAGTAAGGTTGCTGTAATTATTTTTCACCTCACTGTGACAGTTCTGTTTAGAGATTTTTCTCCTTTTTTAAAATGCATTCATGAATTGAGAAATGCTTTGAATTGTATGTGTGTGTCTTAATTAAATTTACAATATTAAACTGATGCTTTACTTAAGAGAAAGTATATTCAGTGGGATATAGGTTTAATCCTGCTGAAATAGCACTAAAATCAAGTGAATCATGTCTAAATTAAGCCTCACTGATTTTATTAGTCAATTTCTAAGCCTGGTCACAGCCAGTAGCAGTGCCCAGCTGAACTTGATTGATCTTGAAAAGCTAAACAGGTTCAGATCTGAATAATACTTGAATGGGAGATGACCAGGAAATCCCAGAGCTGTGAACTAGATTAGCAAGTCAAAAAACCAAAACATCATGGAAAAAAGCATTGACAAATCACTTTTGTCAATGCTTATGGGAAGGGAGGGAGATTCAACTTTTATTCTAAATCTGCATCTAACCCTTTGAGACTTTGATCTTAATTTAGTATAAATCCTACTGCAGGCTTTCTCACTTTGTACTTGGCAAATTTTATATATGGTAGAAACACAGAGAAAGGGCATGAAAGAAAGTATGTCAGTATAGTAGATTCATTTGAAATGCCTATGAATTTGGGTAGAGAAACTGGGAAGAGAGTGGGAAAAATGCTGAGTATTCCTTCTGCCTTTGCTCCCCACTTCCTCTCTCTTTTCTTCCTTCTCTTTTCTCCGGCATCTGGTGACGAAATAATAACAACAGCAGCAGCAATAGCAATAACAGTAATAACTTTTGCTGAAAAAAAATTGCTAGTTTAGAAGCTTTGGGGAAAAAATAAATGGAAGAAAGGTTTGTGACTCCCTATCATCTCCAAGTATATTTGCAATTATCAATCCCCAGCTTTATTGGGGTATCATGAACCTTGCTTATCGTACTCTATCTTAGTAAAAGGTAGAATAAACAATGCTCTGTTTGATGTAAAAATAACATGTGTGTTATAAAAGTTTTATTTTACCAACAAATACTAGAGTTTAGGGAACATAATTCTAGTTAATTATGTTGTCACAAGCTTCAGCTTTTTCTTAGCCACATTTTCTAAAGATACTTAATGCACTTTTAATACTTTATGTAGTCGGCAGAGGTGAACTAATGAACATGGCAATTCATTTTAGCCAATCCATGATAGTTCTTGCATTCTCAAATACATCTAAGTTTCTGTTAAATCTTTTGGTAACTCTTGAATTCACACAGTTGCTGCATGCAAGATATTCATTGAAATGGATACAGTCTCAGTCAGAAAGCTAAAAATTCTGTTTAAGAAGAACAATACATGTTCAATATTTTTTGTCAGAATCGGTAAAATCACTTAGTGCTGTTCACACTTGGAAAACACAAAGTGTGTTTTCATGTATTCACTTACTTTAGTCCTTCTCTCTCTCTTCTAATGTATGCACAGGATGAATTCAAAAAGATAGGGGATTTTAGTGGAGATTGATTTTATTTAATTCTCTATTTATTATGTACATTTTTTCCTATTTGTATATTTAGAATACAATATTCTTACTTCTGAAATATTTAATCATAACCATGTCTTTTCCAGGTGAAATGAATGATAAAAATGTTCAAGTTATAGAATTACCCATAGTTGACAGTCTACATCCACGGCCTCCGTATTTGCCACTGGCAATTCCAGAAGATCTGGCTGATAGATTAGTTCGTGTCCATGGGGATCCTCCAGTATGGTGGGTCTCGCAGTTTGTCAAATACTTGATTCGTCCACAGCCTTGGTTAGAAAAAGAAATAGAAGAAGCCACAAGAAAACTTGGCTTTAAACATCCAATTATTGGGTAAGTGTTTTATTAGGTCATTAAGACTGTCATAACAATTGAAATCAGTAGGATTTACTTTTGAGAAAACATAATTTCCCCAAAACTTACTTATTCAGCATTTTCTTTTAGATCAATGCTACTAAAATTTCTAAATTATTTGGGAATAAAGAAAACTGTCTGAAAGTCCTTTTTTTAATTTCAAGCTCACAACACAGAATGAAGGTCTCCCCTGTTCACCCCAACATTTGTAATTCAGAAAAGCAATATCTCTGGCTGTGGAGGTTTCGTTTAGTATTATAATTAATGACCATTGATCGTTTCTATGAGTTTACCTAAACTTTTTTTAAAAGTTAAAAAAGCTATCTTTTATGGCTTATGAGAATATAGTATAGGTAATAAATAATTAGCCCTTCAAATTATTTAAGAAAAGATTCTCAGCAATGTCCAAGTGTAAAAATCTTTTTTTTTTTTTAAATTGTGTTCTTAGAAATGGTATGCAAACAAGCAGAGGCACATGACCTTGGTTATCAGAAGCACCTACTTATTCTTACACTAGTTGGCAGATCCTAAGATGTAGCTAGTTTAATCATTTAAGAACTATGAATTGGATTTTTGAAATTACTATTTGATGCCCATTTTTTGGAACTGTAGGCTATTGTTTATTTGAAAATGATTATTGACCTAATCATTGTCAAATAAAGGAAATTGCAGTAGTTTTTATAAATCACATAGGAATCAAACTGCATATCTTAAAGGGGTTTATATTTTAGCTCATAAGTAAATGCCTATAATCCCTATAGTGAAATTTTCTTTAATTTTCTTAAATCCACTAAATTTTCTGTGAATTACATCCCTAGGCTGCTAGATTTTCTCCTGCACTTGTAAAAAGGGCTATTATTTTCAACATGATTTAAAAAAAATCCTTGTTTTTTTTTTTAAGTCAAAGTAGTCTGATAAGTTACTGGCAATTAGTCTTGCAACAGTGAATTCCACAAATGGACAATTTTATATGGATAAATATTTTCTTTGATTTGTTTACAACCTAGTGCCAATCAATTTTATTTGGGGTTCCCAAGTTTTCAGTTCTGATATTGCGGTGAGAGAAAAGAGGTTTTTTTGAATCTTATAAATTTCAATTAGGTATTTTGTTCATTAAAGTTGTGAATTCCACAAATGGACAATTTTATATGGATAAATATTTTCTTTGATTTGTTTACAACCTAGTGCCAATCAATTTTATTTGGGGTTCCCAAGTTTTCAGTTCTGATATTGCGGTGAGAGAAAAGAGGTTTTTTTGAATCTTATAAATTTCAATTAGGTATTTTGTTCATTAAAGTTGTGAATTCCACAAATGGACAATTTTATATGGATAAATATTTTCTTTGATTTGTTTACAACCTAGTGCCAATCAATTTTATTTGGGGTTCCCAAGTTTTCAGTTCTGATATTGCGGTGAGATAAATATTTTCTTTGATTTGTTTACAACCTAGTGCCAATCAATTTTATTTGGGGTTCCCAAGTTTTCTGTTCTGATATTGCAGTGAGAGAAAAGAGGTTTTTTTTGAATCTTATAAATTTCAATTAGGTATTTTGTTCATTAAAGTTTCTTAACTAAAAATTCTCTGACTTTGTAATATTTCCATTTATTTGTTATAAACTGTCTGACATAATAGTATAATGAAAATATGCTTGTATTTCTGTGTTTTATTTCTTCTGCATCATATTTCTAGGCAACTATTTCACCTGACAGTTTTTGAAACTTTCCAAAAGATAAAAGCAAATAAAAAATGGGTGGAAGGAAGATAGAAAATAATTAATAAAACAGAACAAAAACCCACAATAAATGTATGGTAAACAAGACAACAATACATTGTAAGGATAACAATAATCTCTCCAGTCCTAAAGGAATGAAATAATCATCATCATAGATTGATGGGAGGCCCATAATGTGGGAAATGTGAAAGCTTGTGGGGAATGAAGGTTGGAGACAGCTCTACAACCTATTTAGAAAGACTAAAACAAGCTTGTCTTTTCTATACATCCACTTATATTGAAGAATGTGATGCTTAAGATACTGGACCCAAAGCTCATAACATTTTAAAGATCATGACCTGCATTTTAAATCATATATCTAATTTAAGTTATTCTGTGTGATATTATAGCAGATATGTTTTAGCAGGATAGACTAGAACCTGTGCTTCCCTGCTGCTAGTCCAACATCTTAACCGCTATTCCAAACTGGTTCTCTATAGCATTTCACCACAATACCACACTTAAGATACATGCCCTGTTTCTTAATACAAGTTTAATTTTAGAAGCTGATGACTTAAATGGTAGGAACATGAAGCAAGGACAAATAACTATTCTGTAATAATGTTGAAAGATATTTGCAAGATCATTATGGGTTGTTGTTGTTTGTTATGTATCTAACATTTTGCAAGGGGAAAATAAAACTCTTCATCTTCCTGCAGTGGAGCAATATAATCAATCCATGCCATATGGTTCCAGAGGTATTATTTTAAGAAGAAAGTTGTTGATCAAGTTTTTGATTAATGCTTATTTGTTTTACTTGTTGTTCTGACTTAATAAAAGATATGTAGGAGAAATCCCAAGTATCCTTTTATTTTCCAGTATTCATGTCCGTAGAACAGACAAAGTGGGAACAGAAGCAGCATTTCATCCTATTGAAGAATACATGGTACATGTTGAAGAACGCTTCCAACTTCTCTCGCGGAGAAAACATATTGACAAAAAACGAGTCTATTTGGCTACAGATGATCCTTCACTATTGCAAGAGGCAAAATCCAAGTAAGGCATCTTCGTACACAGTTGCTGCAAAGTGGTTTTACATAGTGTAGATATTTAAACAATATGTTTTATTTAGTGTTCCCTTCTGTTTCAGGACCTTTCCAGATTTCACTAACTTTGTCTCAACCTTAATTGAAATCATACCCAAACCTTTTTTGGCATTTAGGAGAGTAGAGAAAACGGCAATACTTACATTAAAAGTTTTCTCCATGTAGTGTTTGTACTCCCATGGTGCTTGGGATGAAAATGATTTTCCATTGGAGGACTGAGCCACGAGAGTACTCCTATCCTTGTTATATTGCAGAATCAGGGCAGGCAAGCAGAATACTGAGCAGAGTTGAGATAGATCCCTTGGCATGAAATGTTTCTTTGCCCCTCTCAATCCAGTTTATTATGTTTAATTTGTTCTGGAATCCTATCTCTGGCTTAGTCACACTTATAAAGATCATGGTCCCCCTGCCAGCTCTCATTGATACATCACATGCATCATTCATAACAGCAAAACACAATAATTACTTAGTGATTGTTCAGTTACACATTACATTTGTAAGAAAAAATCAGACTTACAACCCTGAATTGCTGCTTAATTGTTCCTACTCATAAAGGATAAAAATAGGAGTATTTACCCCTAGGAGAAGATGTAAGAAAAGCTGGTTGCCAATCAAGATGAAAACTGATAGGAAGATGTTAGGAGCTAAGATATAATATTGGAGAGAAAATTGAACCAAGAGCTGAATTAAGTAACCCTTTTCTCTCCCTCTTACACTACTTGGCAGAAAAATATTCTGCACTCTGATTGCAATTTCCAATTAATCCATATTTGGACATTGTTACAGTTTCACTTCCTGTTTTGAAAGGAGACATTGGGATAAATTACAGTATTTTCTTCTAGTCTGAGGAATGTTATCTTCAGATACTGTCTTCCACAATAACTTCATCTGTCTGAGCAGTTTGGCTGTTAATTACTGGGATTCTATATCACATCCTGCCAGCCATTCTGTGCCTACCTTTGATGCAGCATCACTGGTCTGCAATGGAATAGCTTTTGTTCTCTTCCTGTTCATTCTGGCATGACTTCTTTAATTAGTCGTTTTTGCAAATGAATGGATCATTCCAGTATGGCTTTTCTATTAAGCTGACCATAAATCGCATAGTAAATAATCTTTGTGAATATATTCAAAGGTTATTTTTTTTGCTCAAACATGGAGGCTCTTTCAGGTTTGGTAAAGCACTGAGTTTCCTTCCATATTATCTTACAATAATCCAGGTAATTCCAACATATAATATCCTAGTATGTATTTGATACTGTATTTTTTCAGTTTTGTCCTGGGGGCCCACTTTCCTATATGAAGACTAGAGATTTGCTCTGTGAAAACCGGTCCCTTCTTTCCAGATTTTGTCCAAAAGGTTGAGGATGATGATGATGATAATATATTAAACTTGTATGCAACCCAACTCTCAATGACTCTGGGCAGCTCACAATAAAGAAATTGTAATAAAATCAATAAAAAATAAAAAGAGGACAAGGCACAATGAAGCAAGGGGTCTCACTCTCCTCACCAAAGCCCTGGGTGAAGAGCCAAGTCTTCACAGCTCTTCTAAACAACAGCAGAGTGGGGGCCATTCAGATCTTAGGGGGAACTTTATTCCAGAGGGCAGGCACTGCTACAGAGAAGGTGTGCTTTCAGAGTCCCAATAGATGACATTGTTTAATCAAAGGAACCTGGAGTGCACCAACCCTGCAGGATCAAATCAAACAGGTAGATACTATGGGAGACAGGCAGTCCCTCAAGTAACTAGGATCTATGCCATGTAGGGCTTTATAGGCAACCAGCACCTTGAATTGCATCTGGAAGCAAACTGGCAACCAGCGTAGCTCATGAAGAAGAGCTATTACATGGCCATTCCGAGGCATGCTCATTACGGCTCACTCTGCCACATTCTGGACCAGTTGAAGCTTCCAAGTAGTCTTCAGTGGCAGCCCCATGTAGAGCACATTGCAGTAGTCAATCTATAAGGTGACTAGGTCATAAGTGACTGTCTGAATGTGAGGGAAATGTGATCGCAAAAGTTTAGGAACCCTAAGCATTCCTAGAATCAGGAGAAAGCCCAGCCGGACAACTCTAGAAATACATTAGTTACTAATTAAGAGATCTGATCAATCCTATCTGATGGAGAAGACCTCCCTCTATATAAATTCAAACAGTTTTTTTTTTTTTTTTAGATTTTTATCCCACCTTTTTTTCATATACAGCTCAAGGCAGCAAACATTATAATACTCCTACCTCCTCCTATTTCCCCCACAACAACAACCCTGTGAGGTGAGTTGGGCTGAGAGAGAGCGACTGGCCCAAAGTCACCCAGCCAGTTTTTTATGCCTAAGGCGGGACTAGAACTCACAGTCTCCTGGTTTCTAGGCCAACATTTTAATCACTACACCAAGCTGGCTCTATTCAGTTTCTAGTTAGTTTCCTGCAAATATGGCTTCTGTTTCTCCCCTTGGAGGCTGATTCATCTTTGCATTGTTTGCATTCTTTCCCACAGTAGTAGACAAAGCATTGTTTTCAACCCTAGAAGTCTCCTTTCTTCCCAGTGCCCTGATGGAGGAAGGGCAAACCTATACAGGACACAATGAAATACAGTCCCTGAATCCAGTTTCATATTGACCAAAGGCTTCTCCATGTTGTCTGGATTTAATTTCAGTTTTTTTTCTTCCCATCCATCTCATTGTACTGATTGTTTTCTTACTGGTAAATGACAAGCAGCATTTAATATGCATATTAATGGTATCCAGCTTTAGTTATCTCTTCCAGCAGAAAGATACCATGATTGATGGTATAAAAAGCTGCCAAGATTGATGGTATAAAAAGCTTCAGAATAGATATATAGTTTTACTTCTTATGAAATGCAGTCAGAAGTTTTCAATTTGTTACTAAAATTTGTGCCAATAAATTATATGGTCTTCATTGTTATTCCTAAGTGTCAGTTCAGAACAAGGCTCCAGAATTCAGTCTTACTTAATAGATTATGCAGAGATACTATATCATTCCCTAAAGAAAAAGAAAACCTGATGTGATGCATTTTTCAGATATCCAAACTATGAATTCATAAGTGACAATTCCATATCATGGTCAGCGGGTCTTCATAATCGATACACTGAAAACTCTCTGCGGGGTGTTATTTTGGATATACACTTCTTGTCTCAGGCAGACTTCCTTGTGTGCACTTTTTCTTCACAGGTAAGCTAATACATATTGCAAAATATGTGGTATATTAGATATCTAGTAGCACAAGTATATGAAATAACAGAGGGATACAGGATATTTCTAAATTAATAATAGTAATATATAATATAATTATCAATACATCAGTATTTTAAAATTCTATGCAAGAAAACATATCCTTTACAAGTAAATGTAAAACAGTTGTTGAAGGTTTTTTTTTCCAAATAAAGTTTTACAAGAATGAATCTTTATAGTTTTGGTGAAGATGAGAAGTTGTGGCAAAAATTAATGGCATTATGGAAATTGGAAAGAATAAATAGAATTTTAATATTTTAGCATCAGTAAAACTTAAAACTTATTTTGCTGTAGTTTAGGACAAACAAACAATGAAATATTTCTTCATGCATTTTATGTCTGGTGGTACACATTGCTCCAAGATGGCTACTAGTTTAGCCACTAGTAATGGCTACTAGTTTAAAGGACTTTAGATATTAGTCACATTGGTGCTTCAGAATCAAAGGCAAAAATGTGCTTCAGACCATGAATGTAATACCAGGCTACAGTTTCTTAAAAGCAAATATATCTTTCCCTAGGATTGCACAGCAGCTTCAGAGTGTAGTCCCATGAGTCTGGTAAAAGGAGCTGCAGTCAGGTGTTATATTTGCATTGTGAAGCACTTTTTGCTTCACAAAAAGTACTGGAAGGCATGATGTCTGTTAATGGATTATCTGTCTCCAAAAGTATATTACCCAACACCAGATGATGGCAACATTGAAAAGTGTTCTCTTTATAGTATTGTATTGGGTGAGCTGCTAGAAACATTGTGATGACAAGTCCTGGATATCTCTAAGTACACTGAATAAAATTTTGTATTACCAAACAATTTAGTGATTATGTTCTTATAAGGAGTCTATTTTGAAGTGTAGGCATCATACCAACTACTGGTTTGTATTTACAGGGCAACATATATCAGTCTTTAAATGCCAGTTAAATTACCTGTTGATTATAAACAGATTATTTAAGCATTTTAGCTTTTTAAAAATACAGGTAGTCCTTGACTTATGACCATTTGTGTAGTGACTGTTCAAAGTTATGACAGTGCTGAAAAAAGTGACTTGCAACCAGTCCTTGCACTTACAAGCGTTGCAATGTCCCTGCAGTCACATGAACAAAATTTGGGTGCTTGGCAACTAGCATGTATTTATGACAGTTGCAGCATCCTGGGGTCACGTGATCGCCATTTGCAACCTTCCCAGCTGGCTTCTGACAAGCAAAATCATTGGGGAACCACATGATTCACTTAACAATCATGTGATTCACTTAATGACCACAGTGATTCACTTAACGACTGCCGCAAAATGTCATAAAATTGGATGCTGTCATGTGACACCTCACTTAATGACTGCACTACTTAACAATAAATTTTCCAGTTCCTATTGTGATTGTAAGTCGAGAACTACCTGTAATAATATTATACTATGAACATCACAGAAGCATCATTGCCAAGATAATTGATAGCAGTTTTTATATCTTGTGTGTTGGGGTAGATTGAGTGCTCTTGGTTCAGTTCTGCCTTTCTTTCAGCCTCCTTGTTTCTCAGTTCTTCTCAATTCTCAGTCAACTTCTGTATGAGGTTTTGAATCTCAGCCAGAGTGCTAGTTTCTCTTTCCAGCAAAGCTGGACTACTTATTTGATTCTCTGTCATATAACTTTTCATGTGCTCAGTGACAGATGCTTCATTGTAACAACTGTAATATAATAGATTTAAAACTTCCTTAATAGCAATAAAGTGTTTCCCATCTATCATGGTCCCTGGCACAATATCAATTAACTTCCTACATTAATGATGCATTTCTTGATTCTAAAAACCATAATTCTTCACCATAAATTTCAACAGCATTACAGAAAATATGTGTAGTTTTGTATAATCCTATAATCTCTCTACCATGCTTTACCACTGAAACAAATTATCTGCAGAAAAAGGTAGTTTAGCAAGACAAGAAATCCAAAGAGCTGCCTTGCACATGTAGAAATGCCTTTCTGGTTGAACAAGATATCTCTGGATCAAAATCTTTTTTTTTTTAATGTATTACACTGTACTTTAATCCAAGTTTTCAAAACTTTTGTCATGCCTTTTAAAACCTTAATGCTTTCACTCAGGAATGTATAACCTATGGGGGTTTTTTTATTTATGTTTTTTTGGGGTTTTTTGCATTATTTCTGGAAAATGTGCTTAAATAAGGTATCAGAAGCACTGGAGACTCACTAGTGCTACATCCCACAGTCTAGCAGAGAATCCTTTGATCCTCAAGCATCAAGAACAAAACAAGCCTAGGGGGAAGACTGAGAAAAGCCTTATTGCACAATCAGAACTCTTCCTCTGCTTTGGATCCAGCCTTAAAATTTCATCATACCCTAACTTTTGTGTGTGTGTGTGTGTGTGCGTGTGCCTTTGAGTCAGCTTTTTGATTCCTGGTAACTGCCTGAACTAGTTCCTGCAGTTTTCTTGACAAAAGTTTTTTTGGAATTGGTTTGCCACTGCCTCCTTCCTAGGGCTGAGAGAGAGTGACTGGCCCAAGGTTGCCCAGTTGGCTTCCTGCCTAAGGTGGGATTAGAACTCATGGTCTCCTGGTTTCTAGCCTTGTGCCCTAATCACTACACCAAACCGGCTCTCTACCCTAACATGGCGTCAGAAAAAAAACAACACAGCTTGGATCTGTTCAAATACAGCTGATTTACTTTCTGTTGTTTTCAGTTATGTGTTGTGACACAGTGTAAATCAAAGTGATCCCAGACATAGCTGTCTGAAAATGGGGTGACAACACCAGTTCCTCAAACAGTAGATGGCAGATTTCAAATTGGCTTAAATTTTTACAGTTAAAATAGGTGCAGGGTTCAATAAAGATGATAGCAGTCAGGAGAATTTTAACCTGTTCTCCCTTTCCCATGATCTTGAAGAAAAAGAACAAATCTCTGAAGCTGCTATTTATGCAGGGCAAAGGAAATTGCCTCATTAGTATTCATTACAAACTTTATTTCAAAGTAGAAAGAGGGAAGAAAGAAAATTTCATCTAGACCATTGTTTCTCAATCTCAGCAACTTTAAGATGTCTGGACTTCAATTCCCAGAAAGTCCCAGCCAGCATGCATCTTAAAGTTGCTGAGGTGAGAAACACTGATCTAGAGCATGACTGGAATGGAAAGGTCTAAAAAACATACCCAAATTCCATAGTCCTAATTATATTCTGTGTTCCTGCTATTTTATTTTGTAAAAAGTAATACTAAATGCAAAGATGTATTTAAGTTAATATTGTGCACACACTGATAAGACTGTAGTGAGAAAAAGCTTCTTTTTCATTTCCATCACCATACATGAGATTGTATCATTTAAGAAGGATTCAGAGAAATTGGAACTCAGCCCTATGAAGAGAGATTGAATGAACTGGGGATGCTTAGTTATGAGAAAAGGCAATCAAGGTCAGGGGCAGGTGGTGATGGAATATGATAGAACCCTTCAAATACCTGAAAGGAAGTTACATAGGATGTCAAGATCTGTTCTCTCTCATTTCAGAGTGCAAGACACAGAATAATTCATTTAAGTTACAGGAAGGCAGATTTCAACTGCATGTCAGGAAAAGTTTCCTTACAGAACAGCTCAGCAGTAGAACCAGTTATGGTGAGAAATGGTAGACTCCCCTTCATTGAATATGTTCAAGTGGAAGCTATAGAACTGTTTGTTTTGCACTTAAGCCGGACCACTTTGGAGTTACTGAAAAATATATCTGCCATGCAAGATCTCAGTTACAGGGAGCAGAGGTTCTAGGTGCCTTGAACCAATTCTCAAAATCTGAACTTGATCCAATAGAGCCAGGTAATAAAGGTTCTTTAGACTGTGTTAGGTTCTGCTGAAAGGCTTAATAGAGGATGTGTGCTAATATTGTTGTAGTTTTGAAGGATTATAAAAAATTCAGTAGGGCGCTCTATCAAACTTGTAGCCTATAAAGTGTAGACCACTGTAATTTAAGCCATCACTGAAAATGTAATGGAAAGTTGTGTTTATAACAACATTTAGCATCATTACTATCTATGGGAAAGCACCCAGTCTTAAATTAAAAGCAAAATTTCTAAAAGAAATATGATGTGGCAGTGATGCCAACTTTATATTTTGTGCATTCATACCCCATCTTGCACACCCCCAAACAGTTAACAAGTAGAATGGTTTGAAAGCAGTCAAATAATATCAGCCTAAAATAATAGCTACCATAATATGATGTAGAGAACTTGAACTCCCAATTCAAAACCACTGGAAGTCCAAAATATTTCAGTCCTAATACACTTAACATCTTACCTGGTTTTACAGTCATGTAATTTACTTTAATAGTATCTCGCCAAGATTGTATTATGTCGGAAGTAAATTTCAAAGTGAATAAACCATAAAGGTTGCTGACATCTCTATTTAGTTTATTAATTATTAATAAATCATGAAAATTATAGAACAGCCCAGCTCAGTTTATTCGGAGCAGCTTATAATAAGAGCAGCCAATAAACAATTCGCAAGATGGCATGATGTGATAAAAAAGTAATTAAAACCAAAAAAGATCCAAGCCTGATAAAACAAAACCATAGAAAGCCACTCCTCATCCCAGGGCCTAAGGAAAGAGCCAGGACTTCAAGGCTTGCTTAAAGGACAGCAAGGTTGGAGCAACGCAATTCTCTGGTTCCCTACCATTCCAGAGGGCAGGCACTATGACAGAGAAGGCACACTAGATAACACTGTTTCAAGGTTGGGATTGTTTGGATTTTGTACATTATGAAATATAGTAAAGGGTGAGGAGAATTGCATTCATTACATTATTGAATGTGTGTTAAGAATAAACGAAGGAAAAGTCCAATAGTGTACATTTGCTTCAGATATGTTTAACCAATCGGCAGGTTCTAAATAATACAATCTTGTTAATATTTTCTCCTTAATTATTTTTCTAGGTTTGTCGAGTTGCTTATGAAATCATGCAGACATTACATCCTGATGCATCTGCCTTTTTTCATTCCTTGGATGATATTTATTATTTTGGGGGACAGAATGCCCACAACCAGATTGCAATTTATGCTCATCATCCTCGAACTGCAGATGAAATTCCTATGGAACCTGGAGATATAATTGGTGTTGCTGGAAACCACTGGGATGGTTACTCCAAAGGCATCAATAGAAAATTAGGGAGAACAGGTTTATATCCCTCCTATAAAGTAAAAGAGAAAATTGAGACAGTCAAGTATCCCGTATATGAAGAGGCTGACAAATAGACAAGCAGAATAATTCATAACAACTTTTACTTTGAACTATTACAACCAACCATACTGTTGACTTTCATAGGATGTGAATTTGCATTTTAACATAAAAAGCCTTTTACTGTTCAGACTGGATGCACAACGTGGAACAATTTGATAGGGCACTGTTTGAACTTACTTTGTTATATGCACACTGCACACATGCACACTGATACACATTCAACAGGAAAACTGTTGTTTTATACTCTTTGTCTTTCTGAGGATATGTCTCTCCCATGAATCATATATGAATTTTGGGCTCACTTCTTTGCCATTAATAAACTATAAGACTTTTAACACTGCTGCATTATGTAATTTAAGTGACATGAGCATATTTTGTATGTGCAAAATATAAAACATGGTGCCTCTTTTTGAAAGATCAGTGACCTTTTAGAAGAGCCATGTCTAGTTCTCCTGATGGGCAAGTATTATGCTTGCCTTTCACTGATGTTATGACCACTCAACATGCTCCAACCAACAGATTTAAAAAATCAGATATTTCTTTACAGGATTTTTGTTAGCAATTTCATTGATTAATTCATCTCATCATTAATAAAAAAAAGTACATCAAACTATACAATAATTGTCTGGTAGGAACTTTTGTAAAACTATGCCATGAACTGATTCTTTAGTACTGTTTCTGGACATTGTCTTTGATAACAAAAAATAAATTAAAAAATTAATGGTTGGAGTGCTACAAGTAATATGATTTTAAAATTAAGATTTTGTTAAATGGTATAATTTCTATTCTTTTCTCAGAAAAGTTATGGAATTTAGTTTCGTACAGAATGTTTTTGGTATCCTTGAGTAGCAGAGGGACTGTCAGTGTCTGTTGTTTCCTTGTTTAGTAGAGACAGCCAAGGGCCCGGCATCTTCTCTTGCAAGTATGATGTTGAGAAAAACTTTTCTATTTCTTATGTGTTATTTTTCAGTTTTTTCTTTACAGATACAATGTTAGTTTCTTGCAAACTTGTTTTTGCAGCATACTGAAGTAACCTCTAGAGTAGCATTGCCAGATTATTAAAAAGATAAATACCATTGGATCATTATGGAATAACCAATATTCTCCAAGCTGGTACCCTCTAGATTTGTTGGACTTCATCCTCTATACTATGTAGTCAGCATTGCCAAAGATTGAAAATTGTGGAAATTGAGGTCCAACATATTTGGAGAACTCCAGCTTAGGGAGTGCTGCCCTTCTGATTTTGTTTTAATATAGCAACAAAACGTTTTGATAAACTCTTGTAGTAGGCTTGGGTTGGCTTTCCCCATCACTACCAGTGAGACAATTTCTACCCATCAGGTGGGTGAGGCAGGATAGAAAGTCATGAAGGACTTCAATATGTCAGGGGTTCTTGTAAGAAGTGGGCTTTACCCCCAGCTGATTTTCAGTAGTGATTTTTTTCCCCTCCCAATGCATAACTATGGAATAAACTGATAGATTTTCATTAAGATTTTTTTTTTAAAATCCTGCCCTACCCTGCCCAAAATCAACTGAAGGGGGCTCCATCTGTGTCACTGAGGTAGTTGGATTCTTGGTGAAATGTAGCCTGCCATCCTTTCCACTAATATTGACGAGTTATTCTGTCCAATTTAATAGATAAAATTGTGCGATGCATTTTTTTTCTATGAAGTGAGTAGAGAAAGGTAGTAACTCAGTCCCAACAAAGAATACCTGGAGATGGTGGAACAGGATAGGTTTCCATCACCTTTTAACTGAGTTTGGAGGCTTTCCGCCTCCTTTTTAAATCAGTGGAACTGTTTCCTTTAATCATTTGTATAGAAGGGAAAAGCTACCTCTGCCCACCTCTGTTTGCTTGTCTCTCCTTCTCTATCCTTATCATCATTGCTGCTTCTGTATGTGCATACCATTCTCTCTGTCTTTATCCCTTTTTCAGCTGCTTGCTTCCCTGTCTCAGTTTCCCTGCCTCTCTGAATGGGTTCCCCCATCCCTTTTATGTTTCTCATGTCTGAGAGAAAAGAAGAGTGCGAACATTCTCACTGGTTGCACTTCCATAACTATCAGTTTCCCATAGCCATCCTCCCACCCCTTCAATCTTACCAAGAATGTTTTTTTTAATAATGCTAAATGTGCCCACATATACCCCAAATGTCATGTATCCTACAGTGGTCTACTATAACATTTGTTGTAGCTAATGAATTGGAAAAACAAAACAGTTCATTACTATGGAATAGTAAGATTTACTGTAAGGGACTGATTATTAACATGAACATTTTTGTTTCTAAATATCTGTCAATATTGAAGCTTAACCTTAGAATTTAGACCATGCTGGTACGAGTTTGGTGTCAGAGTACAGTCTCTCCATCATTCTCTTGGATACAAATGCCCAAAACATGTATCTATGCTTTTAAGTTCTGATTCTTGGACAAAGTATCATTTGTCTTGGTTGATACAGTTTACAGTTGCAAAACAGATTGCTGGTCTTAATTCAAATAGCTATTGTATGATATTAAAAGTTGGGTGCGATTTCCCCTCCTGTGCAAATGATAGAGTGAATGGAAAAGCAGTTCTAGTATTATATTAGAACCTTCTTTAAACTCATGAGCACTTTGTAGCATCAGCTTTTCCGATGTATTTTTATTTGAGCAAATAGACCATTTTGCCTATGTTTATGAAATTCCATTTGTGAATTATAATTAGCATTAGCATAAAAGCATTCTGTTTTCTTTAATCATCTTCTGGATGATTATTAATCATCTTCTGGAAATATTTTTAAATATTATTAGGAAAAGTCATTTGGCATTTTCTTAAAAAGTTATGATTGTGCTTTACCATTCACATTTCATTGATGGGTCTTATGCTGGAGAGACACCATTCCTTAGATAAACAAGATTTAATTGTGAAAAAAGTTGACTTAAAAGCAGTGTGTTAATTCAGAAATCCCATCTATTTAGGTTTAAGGATTTCCTATGTGCTCCAACCTAATGAATATATCAGCATTCCCCAATCTGATGCCCTCCAGACAAGTTGGGACTACAAATCTAAGCACTCCCAGCCATTATCAAGAGGACAGGTTGGGGAGGGTAGGTGTATGTGCACACGCACACAATAAAAACTTTGACTCGGTCTCCCTAGCATGAATGTGATGAGTAAAATATGTCTTCTGATATTAATAACAGCAAGTTGTGAAGTCCTCAAAATTGGTAAGTTTGATGGCTATGTCATTCCCATCAGAAGGATGCGGTCCCTTTAGGACATCAGCATAAAAATGCACATTATGTTTGTTTTTACAAATAATCCAATTCTGCAGTCTTAATACATACATTTCCATGTCAGTTTTCCCCCAGTCATTCTATTTAGAATTTGCAGAAATAATAAAAGTCATTTGGCCAACTACTCAGCAGTATCAGAGCGCCCCTCATACCATTCAACATGCCCCTCCCTCCAGCTTTGTCCAAGACACAGTAACATTTAAGAGTGCAGTGCCAGCATGTCCTTTGAGCCTGAGTCACTTTCAGATCTCCCAAAATTGTTTCAAAAGTGAATCTCCTTTCAACTGAGTTACCAATTTGCAGTTTTCCTATTTTCTCACTTGAAAAGAAAGCCATTTTGTCATAATTTTCTGTGTATGTGATGGTAGTAAGAACTTGGCTCACTATCCTATATGCCTTAGGGCTTACTGCTTCTATCCAAGTCAGGGAGCCACCTTTTTACATGTATAAATTATTTAGCTCCACTCCATTGAAAAATAGCTTTTCTCTGAAAAGATGGCAGAAAATGGATTGTGTTTGAATAGCTGTATAACCTTTCTTAAGATCTATTTCATGAAGCCTTTTCATATAAAGCCTCTAAAATAATATTGTTTTCTACTGGAAATGCACCAAATAAATAAATAACACCCTATCATAGCTGTATTAGCCCTTGCAGAGAAAAAGTTCAAAACCCATCGCTGGGTGACATACCATCCAAAATGACACCCCCCCCCCCAAAAAAAGGAAGCTTTCAGGTTGTCCAAAATACATCAGGCCACATGTCACAAAGAAAGGAAAAAGGAAGAAGTAAGGCATGCCCAAAAGTAGACCAAATGTTTTATAAAGTCATGAGGCTTGTGGACCGAAGATGTTTCTGGACTGAAATACAGAGCTACTGTTTAAGGGATGTTAATATTAGATTACAACCAATCTTCAGAGATAAGGAAAATAAACCTCAGTGAAACTGTATTGCTCCACTTTTGTATTTTCTGAATTTTTGCATGTTTTTGCCATTAAATGTTATCAGCATTTCATATGAATTCTAGTGTTAAAGGGAGCGAATGGACAAATTAATACTACAGTTTGGTGCTTCTTTCATTTCAAAAAGTTATCCAACTGGGATTGCCAGTGTGGAAAAATCAAAGATGTAACAGGTCTGGTTACATCATTGATGCTTATCAGTCTGGAAACAGGCATTTCTAAACCTCTCCTGTTGCACTGATTGACAGACATAATCTTATGATGGAGATAGGATGGCCACACTTGGGCAGTTTCACTGTTGATCCTATCAGTCATTAGAAGAGCACAGTATAAAATTATCCAGGGAATCACAACCACACAAGAATATCCAGTGATCTGGAGATGTTATGGACTCCTCTGATTCTGAGGCCAAAGAGAAGAACCTAGCTGATTCTCAGCCTGCTGTTCAAGAGGCAATAAGGTATTCTGACTGATGAGTCTAGCTCAGTACAGCCAGTCACTGATTCCAATAGTAAGGAGTCACAGATTGTCCTTGGGAGTGTATCAAACCCTACATCATGTTGCCAGTTAAAAAAGACCGAGCAGAGGAGGTTGGCACAGCTCTTCACTTTGCTGTTATTTGTTTACTCAGATGTAGTTTATACTGCATATCAGTAGGACCTACATGAAGCTATGACATTCAGTGGCAAAGACACACAAATATTCAGAAAGACCCAAAAGGGGTTGAGTACTTTCCCTAAAAATTCTCCTCCCAGCTCTGAAAACACAAAAACCATTCTGTTACTTGACATGGGCAGTGTACAGAATTAACTTGGCTTGGTAAATGAAATTAGGTTGGCAATTGATTTAAATTTAAAATGTAAATGTAAGTGTATGGTTGAACTGAAATGTGGCTATTTTTAAAAATGCATTAGTTAAAGAACATTCCCACATGTCATGCAATTTTAAATAATATACAGTACCTGGTTCTGGGTATTAAAGGGTTCTCTTAAAAATACAACAGTGGATTTATCTGGCTGTCCAAAGGGCATATGGCAACTCAATTTTTTAAAATATAGCAAGCTGCTTAAATAAGAGTCAGTCTATGCATAGAGATCATTTTGGTGGATGTAGCTACTCTTGTCACATTACCTCTACAGAAACTATTAACAGAAAGTATAAATTGGATTTGGAGTGTAAACTATTTGAAATGAGATAACTTTTCCAAAAACATACACTGTAAGAATAACATCCCGAATAATCCACATAACATTAGAAATTCAGGTATATGCAACTAGTACAGTATCACAGTATTATGCATTAAGTACACAAAATGTACACAATTGTCAATGCAATACAGAAGATGGATAACAAATATTTTATGAGCCTTTATCAAGTTTATTTAGATGTGATCCCTTTCAATGAGTTCTCTAGAAGAGTCCAACATGGATCATCATTTGGATCATCCTCTGAATGATTGTATAATAAACGTTATTTCAAACCTCTTTTC